GCATAGGCAATATCTGGATGAGTAATAGTTAAGTATTGAAGAGCGCCAACCATACTCCTATATTCACTAGGATCTGAAAGTAACTCACCATCCATAATAGAAAGAGAAGTGCGAGAAGCAATAGGGGTGCGAACCGGTTTGCATGTATGCATGTGAAATTTAAGAAGCAAACCAGAAATATACTTTTGTTGTGACAGATGAAGACCATTAGAAGAAAAACTGCCTGAACACCAAGAAAGTAATGAAGATCACCTAAGTCTTTCATGGCAAATTGTCTAGAGAGACGACTAATGAAGTGATCAAGAAGAGAAGAATGACTACCAGTAAGAATAATGTCATCAACATAAAGTAATAAAATAAGAATACCAGATGATGAACGGTGAATAAACATGGATGTATCTGATTTGCTGCAAATAAAATCATGAGCTAGGAGAAATGAACTAAAGCGATGAAATCAAGCCCGTGGTGCCTGCTTCAAATCATAGAGGGCTTTGGTTAGCTTACAAACATGACGAGGATAATCAGGATGAGTAAAACCTGGAGGTTGTTTCATAAAGACTTCCTCATTGAGAACACCATGCATAAAAGCATTTTTGACATCAAGGTGATGAATAGGACAAGAAAAAGAAACGACAAGAGAGAGGACAATACGAATAGTGGTAGCACGAACAACAGGACTAAATGTTTCATGATAAAAATGTTAGGCTGCTGATGAAATCCCTGTGCTACAAGTCGTGCCTTGTATCGCTCAACTGACCCATCCGAATTATATTTAATACGATAAACCCATTTACAACCAACTAAGTTCATGTGAGGTTGAAAAGGAACAAGAACCCAAGTATTATTTTCTAAAAGTGCATTAAACTCATCTGCCATGGCCTGCTGCCACTTCGGACTTTTTACTGCCTGAGAAAAATAATAGGGTTCAATTTCTTGAATAATAGTGTTCAAAGAAAATATTTGTTTTGGTTTCGAAATACCAGACTTTGAGCAAGTGTGCATTGAATGAGCAGGAGGCATAGAAGTAGTAGGAGAAGCAGTGCTAGTTGGCAGTGCGGTAGGTGCAGAAGAAGAGAGAACATTATAGCAACGCTCGATAGGAGAACCGGTGATGGACACGTGATCCGTAGAGCTGGATGGAGAGCACGGGTAAGAAACTCTAGAGGGAGGTGAAGAAGACGACGTAGAAGGAGACATACTTGACTTAGATTGGGTATCGGGCTGAAAAGGGGATAAAAGAGCAGTAACTACAAGAATCTCATAAGAGCCATTGGATGAAGGGACAGCAGAGGGACAAGACAATTTAGGATATGGAAAAACTAATTCACGAAAGACAACATGTCGACTGACATAAACACGACCAGATGTAGAATCTAGGCAACGATATCCTTTATAATTAGAAGCATAACCTAGGAAAATGCATTGGATAGAATGTGGCTGAAGCTTATGAGAGACTTGAGAAGATATATTTGGAAAACATTCACAACCAAAAATTCGAAGAAAACTGTAGTCAGGGGGTGTATGAATAAGTTTTTCAAATGGAGAAAGTCCTTTCAAAATGGGAGTAGGCAATCTATTAATAGTATAAACAGCGTAAAAAACAGCATCAACCCAAAATTGAGATGGCAAATGAGCATCTGTAAGGATGGTACGCACCATTTCAATTATGTGGCGATGTTTTCGTTCAGCCACCCTATTTTGTTGATGAGTATTTGGGCATGATTTACGAAAAGAAATACCCGAGTTAGAAAAGTGTTGAAGCATAGCCTTATTATCAAATTCACCACCTCCACACTTTGAAAAGTTTTAATTTTAGTGTTAAAAGTGTTCTCCACGAGTTTTTGAAATGCACAAAAGTGCTGAAAAAACTTCTAATTTTCTCATCATAGGATAAAGCCATGTAAATCGAGAAAAATCATCAACAAATATAACATAATATCGAAAACCCAAGTTTGATAAAACAGGCGATTGCCAAACATCGGAATGAATAATATCCAAAGGAAAAGAACTACAGTGAGCAACTAAATTAAAGGACAAACGTTGAGACTTCCCTAACTTGCACGAAACACAATTATTACTAAAGGAATTTAGTAACTTAATAAGATTATGGTTCCTAAGACTTGACAAAACACGACTACCACTATGACCTAAACGACGATGCCAGATATCTCCGGATTGACGTCGAGCAACAAATGCTTGAGGAGGAGAAGTCACATACGAGGACGACAATGGATAAACATCGCCTTTACTGGAAGCTTGAAGGAGAGGTTGCCCCGTTACCTTGTCCTTCACACAAACAGAAGAATCATCAAAGTCAACTTTACAATTATTATCCCTACATAAATTTTTAACAGAAATCAGGTTATGGCGAAGTTGAGGAACATGAAATATAGACTGCAAGTGTAGAGGACGAGATGTAGAAGGCAACTGAGCATAGCCAATATTTTCAATGTTAAGCAATGTATCATTTCCTACCAAAACACGATCAGAGCCAGTGTAAGGGTTCTTTTGTATAAAATTACCTTCAGATGGAGTCATGTGAGCGGACGCGGCAGTGTCAAAATACCAAGTAGCGTCATTTGTTTCACCAACAGACATAGCAGCAAAAGACTTAGGAAGATCATTAGCAACGAAAGCATGATTGAAACGATTTTGACATTGTAAGGCAGTGTAACCAAGATGCCCACAAATTTGACAAGCAATGGGTGAGGGTGAGGGACCTAAGATCCCACTGGATAGTGAGAATGTACTGCCAGATTGTGAATTATAAGGAGTGAGAAAAGCACCACCAATACCTGACGGAGGCTAACTAGTAGGACCATTGCGAGCAAGATTATTGGGAGTAGATGGTTGGGAGGGACCTCGACCAGAGAAACCACGGCCCCTTCCACCACGACCTCGACCTCGACAAGACGAGGATCTTCCTCGTCCACGATTACTTGAAGAAGGCGCTGCATTGCTGGACATATTAGAAGAATTTGATTGAACATTCTAGGTAGCAAATGCATGATGAGAGATGATAGAATCAGATTCTTGAAAGCGTTGCAACCGTTGTTCATGCAAAAAGGAGCTGAGAACGCAAATCTTCAAGTGATACATGTCCAGGGAAGTGAGTGAGGATACCAACCAGTGTATCGTATTCTTTTCCTAATCCAAGAAGGACATAATCAATGAAATCCTGGGAGGAAACTGGAGAATTTATGGCTGCAAGTGAATCAGCCAATTGTTTTGCCTCTCTCAAATATTGATCAATTGACATAGATGTCGTCTTCTTCAAAGTAGTGAGTTGTCTCTTAAGTTCAATTGCTTTAGCTTGGCTAGCATCCATATATCTACGGTGTACGGAAGGTCAAATATCACGGGAAGATGGTAAAAGATGGACGTCGACAAGAAATTCACGCGACAAGGTCGCGAAGATCCAAGAACAGATGCTTTGATAATTCGAACCCACGAGTGGTAGCTTGGATTCGGTTGTTGCGGACCAGTAGCGTCGCAAAGAAGCGGGGTTGGAGCAGGGATAGAACCATTAACAAAACCAAGCAAATCATGAGATATCAGAAGTGAAGTAAATTGAGTATGCCATGTGAGATAATCTTCAACAGACTGTAACTTAATTGTTACCAGATTGGTGACATTAGGCGCTGCTAATGCAGCAACAGAGTGAAAATTTGAGGCAGTAGTTGAGTCCAACGAACCAACGCATGGAAATATTGGTGGTGTAATAGCAGTAGTAGGACATTGGCAGCAAGCTAGGAGCAGAGAAATTGCTTGGTATTGATGAGGCCATGGAAGAAAGTGATGATATAAGAGGAGGAAACGATAAAGGGGGATGTGAGAAAGTAGCAGTAAGGCTTGAGGATGGAATAGTGGCATCAGGTTTAGATAGAGGAATAGAAGTATAGGGTGAAGATGATGCCATTGTAAAGAAAAATGGTGTGGGAAAGCACTGGATTTGAGGGAAAGGTTTAGAAGAAAATTCCAACAATGTTGATTATGGTGAATGATGAGTAGGGGCGTTCATAAAAACCCGAAAAACCGAACCAAACCAAACCGACCAAAAAAACCGATACTTTTTGGTTTGGTTTGGTTTTGGTTTTAAATTTTAAAAACCGATCAAATTTGGTTTGATTTTGATTTTAATCAGAAAAAAAAAACTGAACCAAACCGACTATAGGAGTAGCTATTTTAAATTTATTATTACACCTATATATATGTATATTTTTATACAATGTTTCAAAAATTTAATGGTAAATGTTAATAGTTTGCACTTTTAGTATAGTTCTTTACCTTTACAATCTAGTTTGATTGGTAGTTTTCTTTTGTTAAGTGTAAGAATCCATTTCGTGTTAAAAATAATATATTTTTAATTGAGTCCTTAAATTATTCATCACTATTTGATTCAATTATCGTCAATATATCTTGGTAAATAATAGATTTCTCAAAGGGCAATTGATGTGATAGTGTTACGTTGAAAATGTGGTTGCCGGAATATGTGTTTGGTAGTGTATGTCTTATATTTAAGAAAAAACCGATAAATAACCGAAAAAATCGAAAAACCGACAAAACCCGACATAAACCGAATCGAGAAAAAACTGACTTAATTGGTTTGGTTTGGTTCTAATATTTGAAAAACCAACTTACTTGGTTTGGTTTCTTTTTAGAGAAAAACCGACCCAAACCGAACCATGAACACCTCTAATGATGAGTTCCGTGACTGCTTAGAAGAAGGAATGAGAGAGCTGATTCCATTAAATGGCTCAGTGATTAGAGAACCACTATTACTTGTATTTATATGATATGGATACATATATAATGATAAGTATATCACCTACAAAGATAAGTATATTAAGAGTCCATCACATATATGGGATAACTATAAATATAAGATAAATTTTTAGAGTCCTAATAGAAGAGACGTGTACCTTGGTTTTGCTTATCGATGACGTAATGTAAATACTACTAGTAGTTTTGAATTATACTGTAGCATATGAACAAACATCTTCAAGAGAATAAAAGATGCAAAAGCATGCATATAATAGGGGTTTGAATTATACGTTCGAATTACACCACTTATTCATCATACAAGCGCAGATAAGAAATACTGTAAAATAATACATTCTAAAATCCCTTATTTATTTAAGACCAGAACCATCCAATAGGCTCTCCTTCTTCATGTTGTTGCTCCTCTGCCGCCACAAAGACATTAGAGAAGTAGCCATGGCCGCCACCGTCATCACTACCATCATCCTCCTCTGACTGCAAACCATCCATAGGCGGAGGAATATTATTGCATCCTCCAGGCCCAACTGGATAATCTTCAATATGACCATTGTGAAAATAGGAGTCCCCACTGTCCACCAGCTGTGGACTGTGCTCATCGACCACCGCGCTTCCGCCGCTGCCACTACTCAGCCTGTCCTCCGCCTTCACCTTCACTTGAAGGGTCATAGCATCTACCTCCAAAACCTCACATTTTTCACTTACCCCTGCTCCTCCCACCACTTTCCCCTGCAACTTCTCCATCAATGAAACCACCTGCATATTTTTCGATTAACAAAATATATAGTTTAACTTCTATACTATATGCAAGTTACAAGGATGTAGAGGACTACATCCTTGTAACCTGATTATCTACCACAATAGATTAAAATTAACTGATATTGTAAAATTGAATCTTAAAACCATCTTCATTATGGAATCATGATGATGTAATTTAAACTACTACTTATAAAAGATTATTACCATATACTCCCTTCGTTTCAATTTTCGTGGAATTTGGAAACAATTTACCAATAATTTATAACCACACAAAATATATGTGCCTCAATTTACACTACAAGTTTCAAAGTCTTCTTTATTTTTTCTTCTTAAATTCCACGTCCAGTCAAATAGGTTTACATAAATTGAAACGGAGGAAGTAATATTTTTCTGGCACTAATTACCTATTATTGTAGGTTAATTTAACCTGTAGCGTAAAAAGTGTATATAATGTTTGTTCATAGAACTTGTTAAACTCTTTCATCATATCACTAAATTAGTAAAAAAAAAAACCTTTAAAAAGTAAAGTTGAAAATTAAAAGCAAAAGAATAAAAATTATCAAATACGTAACAGTGTTGAAACTGTTAGTGATGCATCCACTATCTATATACGTAAATTGCTTCATCACTGCGCATATTTTAAAGCAAGAAGCAAAAGTATATTCGCTTTTAGGAAATGAAAAACATATAAAGTGGGGGTTAGAACAGATGCTACTTTATTTATTTGACTTTATGCGAGAATGACTCGGAAGAAATTGACATATAGTATAATTTTCTTTTGTAGGTGAGGAAGAATATTGGCAGTAAGGTTCCCCACTACTAATACTGGTTGCCAGGTGTGCCATAGAATATCACCTCAAAGTCAGATTAAAAATTGCTATCAATTACCAACTTCGCCGACAAAATTTGTCAACAAAAATATGTTAATATTGTAGATAGAGATCCCCTAGCTAGTTAGCGAATAGGATCATATTATTTTATTCAATACATATATGTTACTCCCATCTGTCCACTTTAACTTGTCTTTTTATTTATTTTTCCACAGTATTTAATTTATATCAAGATTAAATTAATTTTGTTTCAATGTTATCCTTGAATTAAAGGGCTTAGAAGTAGTTTGTAATATTTTTAAAGAGCTAAATAAAATCAATTTCATTATTAACTAATATTAAAAGGCGAATTCTTTAATATGTGCGAAAAGAGCAAAAAAATAACTTAGGACTGGAAGAACTAATAGTAAATAAAATTGGCTGTATCGTCACTGTATACCTGATTACAAGAAAGATGACTTTTTGTCATGATTATTTTTACTAACGATTCAAGAGAACTGTGACATAATCATTGATAAAATTGTTTAAATCAGGTTGGTTCCATGATTTGTTACTTGGAGCGGATCTATGGTATAACAGTAAAATGAGAAATCTACTAAATATTTATCGTGAATCCTTTTAAGCATATCTACCAGAAACTTATGTATATTTAATTATCATCAGATATATAACTTGCTATGAATCCTTCAAATTTAGAGAAATATCACAAATACGTACAGTGTACAACAGGATTTAATAAGCAGACAAATAAAATGATCATCAAACTATATGGTAGTAATATATACCTCAGCTTTGAGCTTCTCATTATCTTTGCGCATGGAGTCAAAATCAGAGAGAAGAGAGTCATAAGAGGATTTGAGCTGATCATAATCCCTTTCAAGGGTCTTGGTCTTCCACCGGGCACGGCGGTTTTGGAACCACACAGCCACCTGCCTGGGCTGCAGGCCAAGCTTCTTGGCTAGCTGAGTCTTACGCTCTGGCTCCAGCTTGTTCTCCGTCTCAAAGCTCTTCTCCAGCAAGTGCACCTTAATTTACCAAACAATTAAGCAGCGGAATCCACAGACTTAATATATTGCTTAAGGAACGCAAAAGAAAATTCTCTCATTTGAAGAATATTGTGAAGAATTTGATGCTATATATATGGTGATGAATATGTTCCAGTATGTCTAAAAGCTTAAAAGAATCTCTTTTAATTACTACTATCTACTTAATTATATAACTATGCCTTTAATTTTATATTACTATGTCTCTGATTCTCACTTTATACAATCCAAAGTTCCAAACACAAATACTTTTGCTTCTGTTTAGTATCACTAAGATTTGAACCAGGATCTTTTGATTGTTACTATTTGAACTTGTACATGTGATAATTTCATCTAATAAGAAATTAAACTGTAAACAAAAATACACTTTTCATTACCTATTTATATTATCTGTAGATCAAAAAAAGTAGTAGGGTGCTAACCTGCTCGGGAGTGAGACGGCGCTTCTTCTCCGGCGACTGCTCGTCGTAATATTCCTCGTCATATAGTTCCTCCGGCGAGCTAAAGAAAGGTCGCCTCTTTGAGGAGTCCTCCATCTTCATCATCGATCTTGGTCCTGGTAAGTATAAGTCAACCGTCAAAATTACATGCAAATTTTTTTTACTGACCCGTACCGAAATTTTAATGGAAGAATTGACAATCAAACTATAAAACAAAATCTTCAGTGAAATCATCACACATTAGCTGGTTATCTTCTCTATGTACAAACGCAATTTAAATTTTAATTTGATGAATTTAATCATTAAATTAAATTATTATACTTTTAAAATTATAAGTTCAAAATTAATATCAGAATTCAGTTCAACTGATTATATTCTCCATCCCACGATCTGCCTATGAGTTATGATTAGAAACGTACCTCGGAAAACAGGATCTGAATTCCCAAGGAACAACATGTTGCCGTGACAAGACGGGTCGAAAAATATATGCCCAGATCCCATATTTTCAATGATCTGGATCGCCGTAGAAAATTTATTTACACACAGAAGTTTATATGTATGTGTAAACAGAGAAAAGAAAAACTCTAGAGCAGAGTTTCTTTTAGCTGGGATATATATAGAAAAAGAGAGTTGACTAAGTTTCAAAAGAGCATGAGCTTGTGGCGGAAGAAACTAGTACTCCACAGCAATCTAGCAGGAGTTTCCAAAGGACAGATACAAAATCCCATCACGAACTCCACTTTACCCAGCTCAGGGGTTATTTTGTTCTCAGAATAAAAAGAAGCAGCTATATATATAACTACTTCTTCAGATCGGAGGTTAATTATATGACCTCAGAGCTGAAGGAAAAAGAAAAAGGAGAAGTCAGTAGAAGGTTGAACGGCAAAACGAGATTCCGGCGAGGGCTGGTGAGGGATTAATCTACGCTACGTGTGGTTTTGTCTGTATATAAGTGTTGTAAGTTTATTTTGCGACTAAAGTTGATAGAGGTGAACGAAGGGCATTTTATAATGACTTAGATACTGTTTAAATGACGGAATTGTACAACAGGTGTTAATATTAGGCGCAGAAAAGGAGGGTATTTTCGGTAATGTAAGAAACTGAAGCAGGATATTAATGGGGACTCACTAACTTGCGCCGGAGTGTCCGGGGTATACTTTCTAGATACTCTCTGATTGTTTCTTCTTCTTTCTTCTATTTTTTTTTTATGGGGTGGGGGAGAAATTAGCATATGTGCCAGATCAGGTGAGAGAGTGTACCCCAGGCCATAAGGAAGAGCCATTCTCCGCGGTCGGGAGTTTGTCGCACGAATGGTTGTCTTTCCACTTTTACCGTCTGATTTATTTTAGGGTAATTTTTCGGTCAAAAATAATTATATTTGTTAGTTAAGATAAGATGAGGAATGAAGTTATTAGAGATAAGGTGAGAGTGGCATATGTGGAAGCCAGGTTACTAGAATCGAGGTTGTAATGGTTTGGACATGTGAGAAGGAGAGACGTAGATGCCCCGGTCAGGAGGGGTGAAAGGTTGACCATGGCGGGCTTGAGGAAGGGCAGGGGGTAGGTAAAAAAAGTATTGGGGAGAGGTGATTAGATTGGATATGTCGTTGCTTCACCTAACCGAGGACATGACTAGCGATAGGAAGATGTGGAGGTTGAGGATTATGGTGGTGGGTTGACAAGTAGTTTTGAGTTTCTCCTAGGTTTACCAGTAGTATTAGTAATATTCTTGTTATTGGTTGAAAGCTACTTTCTTTTTTCCTCGGACCGAAAGTTACTTCCTTCTACTTTGTTATTATATTTGTACTTAGCAACCACGTCAATTGTTTTTGAAAATTGCTACTAGAAATTGTTGCTCCTTAATTGTTACTATTTGATGCTACTCTTTCTCCCCTTTTACTGGAAACTGTTGCTCCCTGATTGTTACTAGCTGATGCTACTTTTCTTCTCTCTTTTTTCCTTATCGTCTTTTGTCTCCTTCTTCATTGTCTCTCCCCCCCCCCCCCCCTTCAATCCCACATTTCTTCTTGTTCTTCCTTTCCATCTTTTCTTGAGCCGAGGATCTATCAGAAACAACCTTTTTACCTCTCCATGTAGGGTAATGTCTGCGTACACACTATCCTTCCCAAACTCCACATGTGAGATTATACTGGGTATATTGTTATTATTGTTGGATAGTTAATATACAAAAAGTACATATAAATTATATATAAAGTATATTATATTTTCTACATGAATTTTTTTGTTACTACCATGATTTATAAACTTGCCTCTTTTTTCTCATGTAAATTCCCTACTGCCTGCAAACACCCCTCCCCCGCCCCCCAACCCCAACCCAATATTTTGGCAAATCAATACTTTACTCATCAACATCCAAGTTGAGACTTTGTGAGTGATGAAATGAATGTTAAAAACATTAAAGTTGGTATGTTAAAAACATCAAAGTTGGTTTTCCTTCTGGTGGGACAACTGACATATGGGGCGAATTATGGAAAATTTTATCTAGTGTCTCGTACAGCTAACACTAGTTGTATGAGGCATCTTTTTTGTTTCATAGTTTTGTGGATCCAAATTTTTGTGCACCCAAAAGTGTAAGATTGGGGTCTACAAATTTGTGAGAGAAAAAGGAGCCTCACACAACTAATGTCAGTTATGTGAGCAGGGGCGGATCTAGGGTGTAAGATACGGGTTCCCGGGAACCCAGTAACTTTTGCATAGACCCTGTATTTTTGTTAAAAAAATTATTAAATATCTATAAATATCTATTTGTGAACCCAGTTATTATCGTATATTAATTTGAAATTGCGACAGGAACCCATAAACTTAAAATCTAGGATCCGCCTCTGTATGTGAGGCACACAATAAAACTTCTCGGCGAATTATATATAAACGTTCCTAACAATCACACAGCAAGCTAAAATGTCATGATACTTTAAAAAAATTTCTTTAAAAAATTCACGGCATCATGTACTAAACTCCCGCTATGTGCAGGGTCCAAAGAAAGGCCAGATCACAAGAGTCTATTGTACACAGCCTTATTTACCAAAAAAAAAAAACACAAAAGAAGTGTCATGACACTAATACAACAGTAGTAAGTTACATTCATCTGATTCATGCTTTTGCAACATGATTGTGTGTTTTGGGCATCACAACTTTTATTTTTGATTATTCAAGTATAACTCAAACACTACATTTTACTATTTTAAATTTTGTTTTTCCTATATTGTATAGTTGGTTACTAAGTATATTATGCAAATATACATATTACAATGACTTATATATTTAGATTCAGGTTTGAATTTTTTTGCCTTTTTTGCTTTTGATTTTATTAGTACCGTTTTTCTATATATATATTTGATAATTTTTATACTGTTGTTAGTGGATTGGCAATTGGAATCCGAGAAAAATTAAAACTTGCTCGTGAAGTTAATATGAAATTAAAAAACACAAAGTATATAATTTAACATATGGAGAACATATGCCTTTAAGTCATAACTTTCGATCTATACAGAGGTACGGAGCCAAGATTTGAATCTTATGGGTTCAGAATTATAATTATGTTAAGTTGCTAGGTTCTAATTTAATAAGTTTTACAGATCCAATAAATATTTTAAGACAAATTCATGAGAGCAAAAAGGTTCGATCAGGCACGCATCTCGCATTCTGCCTCCGCCCCTAGATCTATACATGTTCTAACGAGTTTCTTGATTCAACGTTATTCTTTTCTCTCTTTTTTTTGGCATACAGCCTTTACTTTAAAATAACTTTCTGTTCCATTTCGAGAACAGGTATTAGCAAAATTTTATAATCGTGCAACTCAAAAATATCTAATGGTAGCTTTTAACAAATTCAAATTTAGCAAGGAGTAGTTGAGTTTTTCTTAGGGAAGGTTGCAACGGTGCCATGTAATAGTGCGTTACAGGTGATCAAACGCCCCATTTTACTATTGGCATATGTCTTGGTCTCCGCATATTTCCAACTACCTATCAAATGGAGCAGCAGTTTTCTGGGGCCCAGGGAATCAAAACTCCTTTCCGTTTCCTTTAATGGTGATAGAAAGGTAGCATAATCATGGAAACAAAAGAAATATACTTATATTTGTCAAATAAAAATATCATTTTGAGAGAAATAATTTTTGCTTTAGACGAGTTCTTATTAAATATTTTGTTTTCAAGATATACAACAACAACAACCAGTAAAATTTCACAACTGGGACTGTGGAGGGTAGTGCATACGCAAACTTTACCCCTACCCGAGGGGGTAGAGAGGTTGTTTCGAAAGACCCTCGACTCAAGAAGACAAAAAGAAACTCTATATCAGTATCATCAATAGAAAACCAAGATATAACGAATCGAAAAACATGTATCAGATGAACTCGATGGCAGAACTTTTGAGCAAATAGTTGTGCTCTAAATTTAGTTGAATTTAGAAGATAATGTTACTAAAAATTCTTCAGGCGCATGATAAAGAGGTTTTTAAGAACGAATGCGATCAAATATTAGCATTTAATCCATCAGTTTTAATTTATTTGAACCTTTTTATCGTACAAGTGTCAGGTTGACTAATTTTCAAAGTGAATTTGAATATAAATTTTTTAAGTTTTTTGAAATAAAATTTACATATTTAGAAACTACATAAAAAGTACTATAAGTCATAAATCACAATAGTTAATAATTTAAAATATTTAAAACTATTTACAAAAATATGATTGAAAAAACCTTATTTGACTCAATAAAGAGTACTATAAAACTCAACAGTCTATATGCAAATTAAATAATCGTTCTTTTTTACTGTGGATCTCAAACTAATAATTAGGAGGATAATATGAACAAAAATGGTGAATTAGCTGTATTAAGTACGGGTTCAGATAAATTTAATAACATTTATTTAAATTTTATATTTATATTAAAAAATCTATTAAATTAAACTTCTATACAAATATTTAATTACACACTCAATAAATAACTAAGAACTTCAAGCCCGGACTCTGCCTGTGAATTGAAATGTAAAAAATAAAATTAAAAAAAAAAAAACACAAACGTTTGATCGACGAATGAAATTCACTTTACTTGGGATGGTGGGTCAGCTAGTTAATATATCCTTAAGTGGAAGTATGATATGGATCTTTTTAATGGAGGAAAATAAAGGAAACCACGTGGGATAGGAGGCATCTATTTCATTGATTTCTTTTAAAAAAATAATTTTCTCACACCTATTTCATATTCTAGAGAGGGAAAGAGACACATGAATGGATCAAACCCGGGATCGTCGACACATGGTTTTCGGCCCAAAGTTAGATCCTTTAAAGGCCCAGATGGAGGAAGTGACACGTGGTGGGTGGGACATGTCCACTTTCCCATGTGTGTCCAGCTGTCATTGTTGGATAGCCGTTCAATAAATTCCAAATACTACTACTACTCATCAACCTTCTAAAATACTCCATTTCCTCCCCAATAGTGAATTATTCGATTTTTTATTAGGTGTTTAGTATTTGCATTGAGACTCAATTAATTCGAATTTGGAAAGCATAAAATCCATTATAAGAGAATATTTTCTATAAAAAAAGAAAAAATCATTTCAAGGACTCGAACCTATAATTTCTAATTAAAAGTGGAGGGACCAACTTTAACTCTTTCTGATCAATAGAGATATTATTATTATTATTATTATTATTATTATTATTATTATTGATACTATTTTATTATTTTAATTTATGTATTTTATTTTTTATTTATTTTAAAAGACTTTTTAACAGTTAATAAAATTTTAATGTTTACATTCTTAATATTTTTCACCATTAATGATACTCTTTTATAGGAATGATCAAACATATTTAAGCACATAAGATGCAAAAGCATTTTCTTTATATTTTTAAATTTGTATTCAGTCAAACTAAAACATATAAAATGAACAAAAGGAGTAATATTTATCTTCAGTTAAATTTAGAACTTTTTTACCTTTTACTGTTTCACTTATATTTTATTCTTTTGTTTTCT